CTAGAAAGTGGAGCATGTCCATCCAAAGAAGTGTGGGAAGGATTCATGTTGATGTCTTAGTGAAGCAGATAACTGTCAATCAGCTATTATACAGCCTCCTAATAAGGTCCTCTTTAAGATATGTTATGCATGGCACTGCCGACCCACAATTAACTTAATAAAATTGGTGGATTGTTTTTGCAAGGCTACTGCAAGTCTTGTATGTGCACACATGCCCTTGAAACACACTGGACAATGACAAAAGCTCCACCCTCTTTTACTGTAGTATTTGAATTAAATGGAAGAAGTTAATAATGTGTTTTACAATAAGCTTTATAACACGAAAAGCAAAAGAGCTATAATGCTGTGATTATAAGAGAGAGAGGCAGTCTTTTTAAGATCCGCCATGTGACTCAGATTATAGCTGATGCATCTCCCCCTCCCACTCCTTCCTTTCTCCATTTCACCCCTCCAATAACCCCTCCTCCCGCATCACCTCCTCCCTCAGAGGGCATTTTCCTTCTTCTTCTCACTCTGCTATCCACCTGCCTCCTGCTGTGTGTATCTGCCCTGGATTCCCCTCCAGAGATGAGAGGATAAGCAGGTCAGATATCCTTGATAAAACAACACAAACAGCTGCTTTCCTTCAATGTTTTTATCTAGAGAGACAGAAGGCGATACAATCCACTGTCTTCTCTTTTTCAATGAAAATTTGACTCCTACCTTTAGGAGTAGTATATCAGTATATAAGTATATTGAATCTGGGCATCTGGCCATAATCTTACTTAAATTAAACTTACTCTATATGTTAAGTGAGTTTAAGCCTCTTACATTCCATGGACCTATGCCTGAACACTGTTTTTTGACAAAATAAATTATACTCGTGTTCAGATCCAGATAGGTCACAGCCGGGGACAAACTAGCCAAAAAACTGAAGCCCAGCTGAACCAACATGCCCCCGGCTGCTGTCTTCAGTATGAGCAACTGGCAGCCCTCTCATCTTATAGAGACAGCTTACACCTGCTCTGCTTTAAGGCTGGGAGCACTTTGAATCACAGGCCTACAGTATATTCAAAGTCTAGCCTGTTAGTGTGAGCAGGAATAAGTGACAGGGTTTGTGTGCTGCATGTATGGGTGTGTTTTACATCTTGTTTTATTTCTATGCTGAGGGCATAACTGAACACTGCTGGTGTCTTCTGTGATTTTAGACTCATCCTTCTTCATAATGTTGGGCTGCTGTCTACAGTGACCTAGTCTGCACTGATTGCCCTTTGTCACTCAGAATTACCTCAAGAGTGTTCCCTGTTACATTTTTGGATATTGACCCCAGCTTTTAAATTATTTAGTCTTTCTTTTCCATTTAATAACAATAAACTATTCTTATAGTGCCCACTGCACACCTGACCATCTAGCAAGAGGATCTGAATGACTGCGTGGTCATTGAGGGTCTGCATCACGTACATGTTGTCATCCCTTGTGCAAGTGTCAGCACAAAATATATGACCCCCACACTGTAGACAATGAAAACATGCCAACATGTCCGTGAATATACCCAGCATTGTATGCATCCACATCTGTTTTTCACTATACCTACACTGACAGACTAGTTGGGGAGTGTATTAACAGAAAATGACACAAATGCTTTATAAACTGATGGTGTAACTCCTTGTCACAAGCACCAGACATTAGCTGTTCATGTTCCATACTCTGTTTATCACTTACCACATCAGCCCTGATTCTCCTAAAAGAATGAGGAGCCTAGGACAGAGAACAAAAACACCACCAGGACTCTGTTTATCTCCTGAGCACTTGGCCCTCTAATTACATTTCCCTCCTTCAGTGATGTAAATGGAGATGTGTAATCATCAAAGCAAAGTAGAGGCTTGCTGTGCAACTCTAATTAATACAACCTCCTCCATCCAAATGCATTTCCACTTATTTCAGTCTATCCTCTCAAAACACAAGCCTAAAGGCTGGAGGGACTGCTGATGCTCTAAATTACATCTTTTTTTGTGGTGCATTCACAAAAGCAAGCAGGAATGGCCAAAGGGTAAACACAGAGATAGAGGCCAGCATTTACCGTAGTGCCAAAGAGTTAATGTGATTTTCAACTAGTCTGATATCAGTTAAATGATGGATTCATTTAAAAAAAAAACAACAATATATTTAGTCTTCCTTTCATCAAATAGTATCCAACAAGCACAGAGAAACTTTTTCTGTGCCTTTTAAACTGATAAATCTAACCATGTATCCTGGGATTACAACATACACTGAGCTGTCTGACTCTGACACAGCTTTGTAAAATCAGTAACTGCCTGTAACTGGCTTGGTTGTTTCTCTAACTGGGGAAAAAGCTATTCATGACAGTATATCCAAAACTTTCTTTAATGGCTGTGATGACTGTGACTGTGACTCAAAGGTTTGGAACCAGGCTAGTTTTCAACCAACTTTGGAAACAGAAGGAACCAGAGAGGCTCTCCTTTCCTCTATCTTTGGTGCCAGGGCAGGAACTTTGGCACCAAACAGAAAGATGTTTCCCTTTCCGTCTACACAGAAAGGGTAACATCTAAACAGCAATTATCATACGTAAACTGTTATTTTGTCATGTAGGCCTATCATGAAATACTGAAATGCAGCTTCAACTAAGACTGGGTTAGACAAAGTGCTTTCCCTCTGTTCAGCCCTTTTGTTTTTGCTAAGAGGTGTAACAACTGAATGAATACTAATTACATACTGAAACATCCTCCTCACCTAATGACACATTATTAGTGCACAGTACTGTGCAATAATAGCATTACTGACCTCTGATACATGGGTCAACACACCCGTTACTGTATTCCTGAAAAACAACACCGCAACATTGTAATACAGTTTTTCATTAACCATAGCTTTACATGGTATGTGACTAACACTGGTCTTATGTCAGTTTTTCACAACTCATCAGGTGGGGTAAATAAATGGATATTGAGTGACGAACCACAGAGAAAGCAAGTCATACTTGTTTAACAGATTATTTCTAACAATGCATCATGGAACCTGTTACCATAAAATTTAGTAAGGGCATGTCTGTCTCACTAGGTGTAGCTTTTGTGTCTACTGTCTTTGCAGTGTTACTTAACCAGTGAAATGACCCCTGATAAACGTTAGCACTAAATTATTGTCCAGCCCTACCAATAATAGATTAGCTTGGAATATGAACACAAATCCTTGCATCCTCTGTACATTGAGTGATATAGGCAACAATCAGTGAACATGACCTCTTCCAATCCTAGATTCCTGTTTTACTTTTCATCCAACTAATAGCAGCCTGTTCTGCTCTCATTTGTAGTGCCAATCTACTACTAATGCAACTTGCACAAACACAATGCAGGAAAGCTTTTGCTCTAGAGAAGCAGGAAATGTTGTCTTACTTACTACGGGTAGTGACCATGCTAACTCATAGTTTGAGAAAAGGCTCTGATGATCGTTGCTCATTTTACTCCAAAGCATTACTGAAAATTAAGTTGCTCTCAGGAAATAAACTCACAGGACTGTCATTCAGATCTTACGGTTTCACTTTTAGTGGAAAGCAAACAATAATGTTCAAAAGTCCTACCTATTGAATAAAAGACAATAAAGAATAATAAGAAACAGAAGAAGACACACTGAAATTACAAATTACAAATAAGCACATGAAACACTTTTGGCTCAATACCAACTAAAAGCAAAATACAGTAGTAAGTTGTATGTCAAGGTGTGACTGTGGCCATCATGTACAATCCAGCATAACGTCACCAGCGGGTTTCGCCTAACTGGAACAACTGCCCAAACCTGAATATCACCACCTCTATAAGGCAAACACAGCACATTCCTCACTTGTCAAACTGAAATGAATAAATCCCCCTCATAGAAAACACTACTGAATACACTGTGTAAAATATTTAGGTCTAATATGTTTGACCCCGTTAAATTTTATTAACCATAACTTTTGTTCTGTTGTTGAATTCTATTACATTTTTAAAGACATTGCAATCACATGGTGCCTGTGTGGAAATGTAAAGCTCACCTAGTAATGAAAGCCTACAGTATATGCTCAAGACTCTTCTGCTGTGAACACCTGACCTGACCTAGTTTTAAACAAATTCTGCAGGAATGCATCATTGATATCTTATATACTACATAAATCTAGAAAATATGCAAAGCTCGCCAGATATTCATCAAGCTATTCTTTTAAATGAACAGCAATTACCCATAGCTGCTACAGTGCTGAAGGGGAAAACAACACATATTTGGTTAGTGGTTTCCCAAAATGGGCTTCAGAGACCTCAACTTGTGAAGGGATGCACTAAAACAGTTTTGAGTTAGTTTATTTATCTGAGGTCATTATATCAAGAGTGTTTATAAAGATCACACTATGAGTAACAGGTGGGTGTTTCTCCTCATCACCTTACTAGCAATAATAATATCAGTTTTATAAGTCTTCCATGAAACACAGCCTACAACAAAGCATAACCTGACACAAATTCTCAGGATGGGCTTTCATAGGGCAAATTTTCTCAGTTACATTTTAAATCCATGATTTCCTGTCACTGTTGTAACAAACTATTAAAACTGGGACTGTGGATATCAACAGGTAGCTGAGCCTACACCTAATTGTATGAACGCAGCTGGGTGATTTATCAGTGACAATTTATCAACAGTAACAGTGTAAGTCAGATTATATTGAACACTGTACAGTAGAAACAGCGTGGCTGGTTGTAGGCTATGCTACTAGGTGTAGATTTCAGGATAACCCCTAAACCACACACCACACACACACACACACACACACACACTCTCCCTCATACACAATCATACACAAACACAACCACCATTAGGCATACTATATTACCACACTACCACTAGTCTACAAAGTTGTATGGAAAATCTACAGTACAATTAACCAGTTACCCTTTCAATTGATCACACACATAACAAAAGCCTGCAGCACAATGTTGGAACTTTACACTTCACACTTGATTTTTACACGTCCAGGTACCCACCTTATTTGAAGCTTTGGAGGACATTTTATTCTCCTATTCTGCTTCAAAACTGGCAGGTCAAAAGTTGTTGCTGTCTCTGTTTTTATAATCACTTGGGAGAGTGCGCTATTTTCCTTCCAATTGAATTTTCGCCCAGCTGCCGCCACGCCGGGCTACGTTGTTATTTTATTTTATCCGGGACGACGGGAAACATGTCACGAAAAGCCGTGTAGAAAGTCCAGAGTTCATTATCTTATCTTCGTTGCCCGAAACGCTGGCGTTAGTCCAGTAAGGTATCGAGTCATGGAAGAAACTTGAGTTGAAAAAAAAAAACGAAAAGCAAATAAGACCACCTTTCTTGGACGTGTCGTCGCTAACCGCTGGATGAAAAGTTGGAAAGGGGAGGCATCACCCGGACGGTGTACAGCAATGGCAGGCTGAGTGAACCTCTCCCTGCTCTCCCGGCCCTGTGAGCAACGGCGTCTGTGCGGAGCGGACCATTGCACGCACGGAGGGGGGAAACGCTCCGGGAAAACGGGGGCATTCTCTAATTACCCCGAAATGTCTTCTCTAATAACGACTTTTTTCTTGTAGAACATTGCAATATACATTATTGCTTGATGCTTTTATTTATTCTTCTGTTTGTTATCTTTTTTTTATTGCGGCTGAAAAAGTTCCCACCCCTGTTATCCCGTGTGATAAACAGTCCGGATACAATAAGGAGAAGCGACGCCGCTGTCTCTGCTGATGCTGAATGCTCACTTTCACCATGAGATGTTGGTCAATGTTGTGATAGTATTTTGCAGAAGGGTTACAGTGGTCTTTCAAAATCTGGAGTGGGAGGGCAAAAACACAGGCAAGATATACTGCCCCCTTGTCAAATGCACCACAAATCGCTGTAAAATATAGCTCCAGGAAGCCTGCCCTCAGAACAAAACAGCGTGAGCAGAATATTAAAAAAGTTAGTTGCATAATGACCCAAAACTCTTTCCCTCCTCAGTGTTTGTGCGGTGTTTTGGCTGTAGTGCATCTGTTAGATTACACAACGAGTCACATAACTAAACAGAGAGTCCTTATGTGAAAACATTTCTTTGGAGAGGGAAATTAGCAGTGTTTGTGGTTAAGTGACCTCACAGGAAACCACAAAACCCATTCAGTTGAGTTCCTATGACTTCCTAAACCACACCCCACGCACAGGATGCAACAATCTCAGCTTGCATTGTTTCACAGTTTACTTCTGTTTCCAGCAAACAATAATATGTGATATCAAAGTGGGCCACAGGAGAAACACAAAACGATGAAATAGTGTGACATGAAAGTCTTCAGTGTCCACTGTTACAGTACATGTGATAATGAACACAGAGACATAGCCTATCTTTTCCAAACAAACTGAGCAATCACATTCCCTGAATCTAGCTCCTCTAATGATTACTTCCTCTGTCTTTCTTGCTCAGATGTGGAGGCGGGCTTGGTGACAGTGTAGGTGGTCTAAGGGGTTAATTCCCATCAGACATAATCCTACAAGGCTAGGATACCACCAGTCAAGAGTAGCAGACATGTCTTGAGGGTTGCAAGCAGTGGATGACCTCTAGAAAGGCCAGGTCACACTGAGAAGAGGATCAAGAGAGATGAACAGCTCTAAAACCAGCAACCTTACATCAGCCAGGGAAACACACACTCATTTGAAGAAGATATCGACTTGGGACATACAGTTTTCATCACAAGGGTTCACACATACATAACAGTATTAAACATGCCCCAGGGGTGATACATACTAGTATTGATGCAAGTCGTTCACTCCTTCTGAAGCTCCTCAAACGCCTGTCGGGATCGATCAGTGCGGACAGCAGGATGTTTAACATGATCGCTCGGGTGTCTGCTACCAATAATTTACAATCAAAATAATCCGACTTCAGCACCAAAATATTGCCAATCACCTTTGAAAATGACAATAAACAGAAGTCTTTCCTCTGCTGCTCGCCTCTCACTCTCATCCACGCCTGTGATCGTACCTCAGATGTTCTGACAGAGAGGAGCAAGACATTAGTGACACTCCAATGTGATCAAAGCTATCTTTGTCCTCTATGCTTGCATCCCTGCTCCCATCTCTCCCTCTTTTTCTCTCTCTCTCTCTATCACTCACAAACACACAGACACAGACACACATACACAGACACACACACATACACAGACACAGACACAGACACACACACACACACATGCACAAAGACACAGCTCTTTTCGGCAGCGGGCAGCTTCAAAGCTCAGGTGCGCTCATGGAAGAGCAGGCACATGGAAAACAAAGGTGAACATGCAGGCCCACATTTTGTTGGAGCACATCACAAGGTTCATTCAACCCAGCTTCTCCTGCAGCAAAAAGGCTAATGTAGAGTGAAACGGCATAATGTGCACAAACTATAAATGTAAAGCTGGCTGTTGATGTGCATAGAGGCGTTCACGTTAGCAAGAACACAAATACATGATGATGAATAAAGAAGAATGTGATGTTTGATGCAAAACAGTTGTTTTCCAACTGGTGAAAGTTCTTAAACAGATGTTATTTCCCTGTTTTCATCTGTCCTGAGTTAGGTGTCTGTGGGAGGGTGCTTGATCCCTCCTGTGCCCTGTTGACTCAGGGCTGCCCTGCAGGTCCAGCAGAGGCTCTGTTCCTACTTACTAATAGAAACCTTCTGGAGACATGCGACCAACTGAGGTTCTTCATCAATCTGTGTCACATTATTGTAGACCAGGTCAACTATGGCTACATCTAGAAGTCATTCCTCTAGAGGTATTACATTTTTTAGGATACAAACATTGGTAAACAATAATTTGTGTGGATTTTTCTGTGGTGAAATAACCTGTTTAAATGATCAAGCGGGTGTTATTCTATTCTTTCTTATGGGTTAAGAAATTTTCTTGCACAGCTGGGTACTGTAGTTTTTTTTAGCTGAGGACTGATGCAAATTTGATGAACTTTTGTCTGTGAGATTGACTCAAAATAAACTGAGCTACAGTGCCCATGGAGAAAGGAACATGTCTTTGGACAACAATGGAGGACTATGGCACAGAAGAATAAGATACACGAGGCTTTGAATACACAGGCAGTGTTTGTTACCAGGATCAATTCACTGTCGGGTTTGGTGTTTTCATTGGAATTTATTTCCATTAAGAAAAATATAGAATATCACCAGCCTTATACTTTAAATATAATTTTCACCTTGATTTCATTTTGAGAAACTTCCACTAACAGAATATTGATATGTTCAGTAAAAGCCACAGAGAAAAGGGTTGTAGTATAACCCACTAATGATCAGTATACAAATGTCACATCTCTGCTTAAGAGGCCAACTGTTTGTGACCAGATTAGTATCATATGACAGGATTAGCAGGCATCTCTCAAATTCATCCCCTACCTTTCAGGTCAGTATTGTTCCGGCTTTTGTGAGGGACTCAACCAGTAAACACAAATCTGGTTTTGGGATTTCAAGAAACATGAGTTTATGTGTAATAAGATGTGGTTGAAGATTCAAGGTCAAATGTATTCATCTATACAATGATGGTAATTACAGTCCTCCCATCCAATGCTGATTACACAACATGAGAGAGAAATATCTATAAAATAAAGCCATAAATAAAAACATTATAGAACTATATTCCACAATAATATCTGATCAATAGGTGGGCTAAAAGAGCTATTCAAACAACAGCATGAAAAACTGGCTTTTAACCTGCATTTTACCTTCCACATATCATCTTAAATATCGACTGCAAACACACTCCCTGACTGCTGCTTTATATCAGAAAGAGTTTCCACAGGGTTCAAAGAAGGCCAACAAGGCGAGGAGCATATCCTTACAGTAATAACTCAGATCTCCCTCCACTAAGAGAGCCTCTAAACCTGATCTTCCACTAAACCTGTCAACTGTTTCCAGTCATGCAGTCCCTCTCCTCCATATCCAGTCACAGCACATCAATCACACCCTCCCACATCACACAGTGAGCACCCCTGTTTTCAGCAGCACTGTGCAGGTGAGCTGTTGAGCAGTTTCTGGCTAAACTGAAAACTTCAGCATGGTCAACATACAGTATTAATGGGATAAAACGAATATGTTTAGAATGAAACAATAAATAAAACTGAAGTGTCTACCATATGCCAACAGCTCTGTGAGGCTTTACCTAGGCATTAAACACAAACTCGTTAAGTAGTGGACAAATAGAAATTTTGACCTGATGATGGCGCTAGAGGAAAAGTCCAGAGATCATCAAAGTTATCACAGTTCTTCCCGAGGGGGACATGAATGTGAGTGCCACATTTCATGGCAATCCATTTGTGGAACCACCATGAGGTGCTAGAGGAAAAGTCAGACAATCACCGTGATTATGAGGAGGTCTTTGTTTGGGATCAGAATTTCATAGCAATCTAATTCAAAATATCAACCTGTTGGTGGAGCTAGAGGTAGAGTCAGAGATTACCAAAGTTAGGCGGATTTATCCACTGGGACCATGAATGTCTGCATAAATTTTCTTGGCATATCTGGATGACCAACAGACCAACATTGCGATCCCTTGAGTCATGTTGCTAACAAGGCTATCAACATCAGCTATTATAAAATCTGAAGTCTTTTCTCTTTCATCATGTTTTGCAGTATCTACATATACTCTTTGGCATGCTTTCATGACCTAAAAAGATAAATGGCATTTAGCTATTTTGATGTCACAAAGCAACTGCAATTAATTTCAAATGCATCAAAGGACACACAGTTCTGGGGAGGACTCCAAGAATGGCACTTAGTAAAAATGTAAATGAAAATATAAAGACTTTCACATAGTTAAAAGTAGTTTCTTATTATTGGGGTTAATATTGCTACTATTGTGTTTGACTGTGTCCTTCCCTAATTCATTCACAACCACAGAAGAAAAGTTAACCTGTGTAAGAATAGTGTGAAGTGCTGTTATTCTGAGAGACACTTAGTTCCACTTAGCTCTCATGATGAAGAAATTAGTTTATCATTCTTATCCTTATAGTACTAAATTTACCATGGAGGGTCTTCAGTCACTGATAGTGAACTAGGCTACTTTTAATCTTCTGGAGACATTTACTCCAAGAGGCAGCCTGTGATCAACCAGCCAAAGAAAAAAATCTCTCATTTTCCTCTTTCTCTGCTTCTCTCTTGCTCTTTCTCTTCTCAACAGACAAGGACTGCTGAGCCTTTTATAGCCAGAGAACAGAGACTATGCTGCAGTGAACCTGGTTGAACTCCACTCTGCTTCCCAGCAATATCTCAAGTAGCTTAACAAGTAATGGCCCAAGTTGCAGAGGACGATAACAGGTCTACTTGAAATTCCACCACTTTGCTACTTCTGTGATTATTTCTCAGTAAGGTAAACAGGCTGTTATGAGTTTCCTCCATTG